GAATGCCGCAAATACCTGCCTAGGGTCTGAAATAAAATCTAAAATGTTTTCCTATTCCAATCCAGAAGTTGGTAAGGCCGTAAAGGCGGCGGGTCTTTCGCCATTACCCAGGATACACCAAACACTTTCATAAGCTACAAAGCTCGTATTTAAAAAAAAACTAGATATTAAAACAAAACACGTCCAAGGAAAACTACGAAAATAAGGGGCTCTCTAACGATAGGGGTATGTTTTAACGAAGACGCCATAAACTTTCTTTTAGCCAGGAGCAAATAAAAACATACGCTCTAGAGGAAAACTCAGTAAGCGTCATCTCGGTATACAATCATATAGAACGAATTGAAAGTTACAGACGAGCTGGCCCCAACTCCGGCTAGAAGTCGTCAACTCTGTAGCGTTCTTCAAAATTTTTTAGCAAATGTTTTCTGCCACTAAAAACACAACAAATCAAGATTCTTTCAAAATCACCGGCCAACTTGATATACGAACCTAGGTTTCATTCCGTTTACCCCTTCTTCATTCCTTTTCCGTTCAATTTACTTTTAAGACCCAATTTAGCAAATCCTTAAAGAATGCCATATTTTTAGCCGTTCTTATCTTAATCATTTGCGCTAAAACCCAAACCTAGCTGATCGTCTCTCACCAGTAAACGCCAAGAAAATCTTCTCGTTAAAAAGCAAAAACACATAACAAAATATTAAAATTCAATTAATCCGCTTTTCAAAGTTTCCATTGCCATAAGCAGCGAAAGCAAGCCATCGGATATACAAAATAATGGCGGCTAACAGTCACATGCGCTAAGCTGCTTTGGCCAGCCAACACCGACCATAAGCGTCCTTTGACAAGACTCTCATCTGCTGTTGGAATTTAGTTTACCGTTGCTGATTTCCATTTGCTCAACACCCAAAACACAGACACAGAATCTACCAACTTTTGGGATTATTTCTTGCATCTTCTTTGTCTTGTTTCGTTGTTGTTGCGCGGTCGCCATTTTTATAATCCATTTTATCAGGCGCGCATCATTTGCCGCCACCATCGTGTCTACACCGGGAATGCACTTTTTCACTCACCTGGCATCTGCATCAATGCCATTTCCACTCTGTTGTAATTTTTTCGCAATTTACCCTTCGCCAGTTACCTTCAACCGCCGCCCGTCGCTCGTTGTGATGGCACTCTTGTATTGATGGAATTGAAATTTATTATCCCATTTTGTATAGCCTCGCATACATTTCCCTAGAGTTAAAGTATTACATTTATTTTGCACTTCATGGCGGTCGTAGTGCCTCTTCGGTTCACAAAGAGTTGTATACCACGTCGCCATGTTTGGTTAGATTAGATTTGATAAATAGGCAGATTTCTTGTGAGGCCAAAAATAATACCACTTGGACAGCTAAACACACTTGTCGGTTGTGAAGCCCAGAACTCTTAGGATCAACATGACCGTCGCAAATCGACAAAACGCCTAGAGCCTGTCACAACTTCCTTGAGGCGACTAATATCTATTCCAGCTAATTTACCGGGTTCATAAAAAGTATGGCAACCGAGATGCTTCAACCTTAGTCCGGCGAAACCTGGGCAATGAAAGAGAAAGTGTCCAGATGTTTCCAACTCATCTTCCTCATTGCGACTTTGACAAGTTGCCTCCTCCAAAAGTGCTGGTTGCTGACAAACGCTTGCTCATCTCGCACGTAGCCCTTAGCTTTTGCACCCGAATGCGTTTCCGTCGTGATCGAATTTAGGTATGGATGCATTTTCTTGCAAGCTGATCGGCTTTACAATTTCCGACGATTCCGCTATGGCCAGGTATCCAGACAAGTTTAATGTGGGAGTGGCTTGATGCTACTGCTAGGAATCATGCGCTACTTTACTAGTTTTGAGCTCACTGTCAGCGAGCTAAGTCGCGATCGGTTTCTGTTGGGATTGATATGAAGTCTGGATATAATATATTATAGGAATTCACAATACTGTTACAGCACAACTTTAAAAACTTTGCAAATATCTAAATTGAAATAAGAAGACATATTGACCGCCCAGAGTCCATCTGAGCCTTGCAATTGGTTTGAACAAAACCATATTAAAGCATAAGAAAATAAGGCACAGACCAAAAAAAAAGGTATTTTAATGATTCCACCATGAACCATACATGAAATTTTCAGGGGGGTCTTACAAGTTTGAATTTCTCTACAAAATGAGCACAGATTCCAGGATGTGCCTTGTTATTACAGACACCTCGATTATAGCGATCTTCATTCATATTGGCACGATGTGTTCCACTTCCTCAACTTTAGGTCAGGTCTAACTGCAAATGTTCAATTTTAGTGACGTTGCTTATAGGAACAATACGAACTTTCAACCCTGCCTGATACGTAAATATATCTCACACGTCATTTATTCACTCCGTGCTTGTAACTGGGCGATATTCTCGCTGGTTGCAAAATAATCTACACAACCACGCACATTTCTCGATAATTGTTCTTGCTAGATGTTATAGTCATTCTCTTCCAGCTCTGTAGGACAGAATTTAATGATCGATTAAACTTTTAACTGAGTTCATTGCCGTGTTCTTTTACAGCTATTTTACTAATAACGGTAACATGTACCGTAAACTACCAACCAATTTAGCAAACGGCAGGAAATAACAAAGGAGTGTTCTCAATAATATTATATAATATATCGTTGTTTTAATATCTGGTTCCACGCGTACAAAGTTTGACCTTTCTCATCAGCTAATTTCATTTTTACTATACAGCAGGGCATTGTAGATATATGTATATACTTGTAAATAACTTTACATTTAGTGTAACACCTAAATAGGTAGCTCTGTATACCTTTGCATATATTCCATATTAATTTTTTATGTCTCTCCATTGGCTGATGGCTGTTCGGCTGGTGTAAACGCGTTTGTTGCATAGCGCCTTGTTGTTTACTCGTTGCTACCGCTGTGGCAGTTGCTTTAAACAAAAGCTTTAAGAGCTGATTTTTTTCTGTCTTTTTTCTTTTTTTTTTTTGTTGTGTACAAAGCAACCACTTCATTCTCATTGTCGACACTGCATTTTTTACCGCATTTTGCCGTATTTTTTAAGGCTCTCGATTACAATCTGTTTTTACAAACCTGCCGCACCACTCGAAAGCCCAATGTTGATTTTGTAAACACATCTTTTTTCCAGAACCCAGCTGTTCATGTAGCCCAGCTTTTCGCTTCGTACAATGATTCGTTCAATTTATATCGCACAAGTATTTGCTTAAAAATTAAACAACATTTCGCACGATTGACGAGCTCACGTCGGGCTCTAGCAGACATCAATGTGTTTTTACCAGCTGTCCTGTTACAGTTACTGAACAGGATGATTTTGTAAGTGCACTAAAAGAGAGGTTTTATTAAAAATATGACGAACGCAATATTGTCACTAATATTAGAAGCAACTCCTGCGCTGATATCTGAATATAACCTGTAATGAACTTTTAACTCCAGCAACCTGAAACCTAAAAGGCTTTCGTCACATGAAAAAAGTTTGCGATGCATTGACCTACATCCGATTGAATGTGCGCAAGAAAGATGCGAAAGTAGGCATGCCAACTTCTTTCCGAAAAGTTAGTGTTTCACATGGTGTGATTTGTATCGACTGCCGCCGGCTAACGCCTCTGCTGTTGTCACGATCAATTTTCACCATCAATTTGCACGATCAATTTGCACGTCTTCAGAATTGGTCCCGTGCGACTTTTTTTTTGTGTTCAAAAGTCAAAATTCAATCGCGGAGCAGAAGAGACTAGCGGAGGAGAGAAGAGACTATGTTGAGAAATAAATTCACTTTTCTACAAAACTTTCTTTTTTCTTTTGAATAGTAAATAGGCATTAAACCGCTCTCATATAGCTATTTATATTCGTTTGTTCAAAAAATAACGGGAATTTCCATTTTTTTTTTTTTAATTGTATTCCTTCGTCTACATTAATGTGGTTGCCTTCTTATTTTTGAAAATAGGAAAAAGTCACGAAACCTGGGACCAAGCTCATAAAAACACGTCTAACCCTATAGTCGTATCATGTTTCCACCATAAATTTGAAGTGATAAGATTACATTTAATCTATTCACTAATCTAGACTATTCTAACTGCCGTTGGAGATTTATAAAACAGCTGTTTTTGACTAGCCGATCGAAGCTGTGGCATTTTTTCACCCCACAGCTCTATTAGATCGGCTTCGGCAACCTCACTTCCCATTACTCTTTTTTTTCGAAACTATTTTCAGCCTTTTTCACTTATTTACTTTATATTGCTTACATTTTATAGTTTTTATTTTCTTTGTTTTTTTTTTACTTTGACAGTTAATAGTTTCTAAAACAGCTGTGATAATGTGATAAAATTCTTTACTGCGTAACAGATGGCGCTAAATTAGAGTCGCGCAGGGAGATTTCGAGTAGATTAGCGGCAAATCCCCGATCGATGACGAGTTTAACAAGTGAAAATGCCACTAAAATTTTGCTTAGTGAGATAATCTACTCAACAGCCTAAATCTTGTGATTAAGTGTCCGCCAGAACATGGTGTAAGTAATGAATACAGCCGAAAATTTTATCGTAATTCAGAGGCATGCATAACAACATTATAAAAAAATTTCGCCAATTGGACTTTGGAGTGTCCTATTGTTTTATGAACACTCCTCGTATATACATTCAACTACTATAAAACGGGGTTACGTCCACTTTTCGAAAATTTCAAACACACATGCCTCAAACATGTCAAATTGGACTTTCTATAATAAATTAAACTTTTATAGCTTAATTGGTTTTGGGAACGTGGCTCGATTCTGCTCATTTAATTTATATTCCTAAACAAGAGGCGAACGTACAATCGAACTGAGGTATCCGTTTTCATTTATATTGAAACAAAATTAAAAGGCAAAGCACAGAAGATGGAAAAAGAAGTGAAATTCTCGAACAACCCTACTCATAAACTTACAGTAATTTAACAACAGTTCCGTGTATTCATAATAAAAAAATAATAATTTAATATTTGCTTTACTAAATGTGACAATTATTTATTTAATTTTAGGTTTTCATTCATACTCATTATGTATAATGGTTTTGCAGTTGTTGTTGCTATTTTTTTCAACTATGGTAAGTACAGATTTTTTTCCATAAATTCTATTTATTTTTTATTTTTTTCTTAATTATTTGCTGTGTGTAATCTCTCTCTCCGTTAGTGTTTTTTGTTTTTTCAATTTTTAATATTAATTAAAATTTTATCGTAATTACTTGTAGTGCTTTTTTCTCTCTTAATAATTACCACGAAATAATTCAACATTTTGACTGATGTCATTAACTATGCATGAGCTCGATGGATTTGTGGATTTTATTATAGATTATACAACTAAATGGTAAAGCATGTATGTATATATGAATTTCTTCTCAATGTTCTAATACTTTAATTATACATTGTTGTTTGTTGTGTTTACGCTTATATATATACATGTTTTTCGGTTTGGATGGTCATTGAAATGCTAGTAGCTTTGTGTTGCTCAATGTGGATGGGCTAAAGCATTATTTGTGTGTTATCAGTAATGTTTTAATCGTGTTGTTGTTGTTTTTTTTTATTTGGTTTTGGTTAAAAATATAATTTGGACACATATAGATATTTTCGATTAGTTGCTAATATATTGAATTGGTGGTCCACATAGTTTTATTATTATTATTATGGAACATAATTTTAACAGTAAAAAAATATATATCTCGACGGAACAAACTTAAAAGCCTTACACAAGAAAATAAATATATTTTTGTATTAGATCCTGCTTCGTAAAAATTCGGTCAAACCTCAATTGAATTTCGATAGCTTATACGACAATAAAAACCGACGCTAAGAAAATCGGATAAACAAATTTCGAGACTGATAGTGTTTGTTGTTGTAGCGACGAACAAATTTAACACAAATAATTTTGAGGCAGCTTGTCGAATTTATAGCCCTTGGCCATTCTTTTTACGCACGCTTATCCACACTGATAGTAGACCGGCAATACTAACCTTGAACTCACAGACCATGCGCTCAAGCCTGTTTAAGCAATGCCAAACCTCATTAACAACGGCATCGGTTTAGTGCTGGATAAGGCTAATTTGGGTACCAAGCCATGGCAGATAACCGTAAAGCTGATGAGTTGGCAAGGAAATGAACGAGAACCTCTCGCTGTCGTTGGAATAGGTACAGATGGGAGCTCCGCTGTCCTTGCTCCTGTTACTACTACGGGAGCTTGGTGGGCGCTGAGCAACTATCGATACTTGTGCAATCACAAGATTCCTCGTGACTGTTGTAAATCGCAAAAGAACCAGCGAGCTTTTTGCGCTGAGCATGGAAAAAGAACAAAAGTGTCTATTTGTGTTTGGAAGGGAAATCAAGGAGCGCTTAGGTCCTGCATACGGAACCGGATATCGAAAACGTCTACCAAAGAGGATGTCGTGATGTGAGTATGTAATCTCGTATTGACTGAACGTGCGCAAGATAGATGTGACAGTAGGCATCTCAATTGTGCTGTCCGAATTCCGCGCCTAGTAAGGTTAGGTTAGGCTTTCCTAATAGCAATTGTCCTAACTGGCCATTGTCTTATTGGTGTGTAATAAAGTTAAACATCTTATCGGATGCCAGTTGTATAAGCTGCTTGGAACAAGACACCTAAGCAAATTTTTAAATAATTCAAGACGCTGTGTCGACACTTAAAATCTACTTACAAGAATTCTTTTTCTGACATAACACTCTAAGTAGGATCCTCTTTTGGCATAAGCCACATAACTTAACCTAGCATAGCCTGTTACATAGACCCGACTGTCGTGAAAATTGCTTAGAAAGTAATCGTTTAGAATAATGGAATTATCAGAACTCTGTTTTATAAAAATTTCTTTTAGAAATGTCATTCTGATTAACAGTGAGTGCTATAGCGCTTTTAAGTTGGATTTTTGATGAACGAAATCGGAAGTTATGAACTTGGATGATCTTTATTTTCGGTTAATAGTCTCCTTCGGAGTTGCGAATTGACTGTAGACCTTTTTTAGTTGGGTTATATTAAATTGTGGAATAGATTAACGGTCACCATGGTCGTAAAACCTTCGTTTTATATCAGCTGAGGTTGCCACATCCACATAAATTGTGTTTTAGAAATTTTGCAAGTTTTACACTGTTTTGTAGCTGTTTTTTACAGTTTTTTAGCAACTTTTTAAAAGTTCAAAAGCTAGAGGGTTAAAAAATTGGTTTTAAAACCGCAAGGTTGCCATATCAACAAAATTATGTTTCACAAATTATGGAAATTTTTTACTATTTTTAGCGGCTTTTGAAAAGTAAAACTAATGATTTAAAAAATTAATTTTAAAACCGCCAAGGTTACCATATCAACAAAATAATTTTTCACAAATTATGGAAAATTGACTTTTTCAATGAATACTTATAGAGACCACCCTGTACATTTTGTTAAAATATGTATAAATTAATATTTACTGTGCGATTAGCGAAATTTTTAAGAAATTTAAATCTAAAATTTGCAAAACATTTGTAATAAGTATATATGTAAGAGCTGCTTATTAGGAACAAATTTAGTGTTTATTTTTATAGTGGTGATCAATGTCATAGTCTACATAAAAATGCATATAACGGTACATATAATAAAAAGTCTGGCAATGCTACAAACCTAGTTTTCCACCGCATATCTAATATAAATTGCGTTTGTAATTATAAATTTCTCAATTTGCGTATGAAAAAAGTTTCGTGTGCTTTATTATTATTGTTGTTGTTGTGTGTGTGCGTAAATGTTTCAGTGAAAATAATTTTAATTACTTTCCATTAGCTAATTGTGAAATTGAAAAAACGTGCTACTTGTAAAAATATGTGTAAATTTAATAACTATTTACGCAAAAGTAATGCAAAAATACACTCACTTGCTAATTTAATGAAAATTTAATGCATATCAACACCATAATTGCGATTAATTTTGCTAAATACTCCTACTGTAGTATGCAACTTTAGTTCTCATTTTTTGACGGCAGCGTTTGGGGTGTTATTTGTTGCGCCAAGGAATTTTTTGGCAAATTTAAACTATTTAACATTAATATTATTTTTTTTACACTTTAAAAAAGTATTATGAATTTTTTCAAAATTTTCCAAAAAAAACTTACGTCTACAATACGGCCAAATTATTGTTCAAATCAAAAAAACAAACGGACCACTGACAGACTGTATCTCAGCTAACCTCAAAATTTCGTTCACTCCTAACCTTTAACTCGTAATGACGGTAAATTACCACCACTTCACGACGCTTATACGAAAGCAATTTTTGCAGTCCATAATCAATATATTCTTAACAAACAAAGTCTAATTAAATGCATGTCACGAATACAATCCACTTTGACAGCTGTTCTAAAATCCAATTAATCCACCACACAAACACTCATTCACTTGGGACTTAGAAGGCTGCCAAAGCGCATAACTCATAATCTGCAGTTATGTTAAATTTTTAATATTTGTGCAATAAAGTTAATTACTTTGTTAACATAGACCTTGAAATAACGCCACGTGTCGAGGTGTCATAGTAGCTTATTTTGTGTGTGTGATGGCTGGCTAGACGCACATTTGTTTAGCATGAGAGAGGATAAGACTTGAAGTAATTACATTTAAGTATACTTTGTCTCTAGCTACACGCCTTAACTCTGGTATTGAAGTACAAAAATGTAATGTAAAAACATTTTGTAGGAATTTTTCTTCAATTTGTATATTTTGAGGTTAATTTACTGAAAAGCAACACAACGGTAAGAGAAACAAGAAAAAAGTTTACTTCGGCTGCTGTTTTAATACAAAAAGAACTCTATCTTGATCTATTCGATCCTTCAATTTGTATGACAGCTGTATGCTATAGTAGTCTGATTTGTTCAATATGTTCGGAATTTGTAACGCTGTCTTGGATGACAATATATGCCAAATTTCGTAAACATATCGTGTCAACTATATTTGTAAAACGTTTCCATACGAAGACCTGATTTTGAACGCTCGGTTTGTATGACAGCTACATCCAACAGCTGTCGTATATTGATGGTTCCGAAAAACGAACAGCTTCTTGGTGAGAAAAGATCATGTGCAATATTTCAGATAGATATCTCAAAAACTAAAGAACTGCAGACATTTCCAAAAATGCATAAAATATATTTTTCCAAACTTAACTTATTTTTAAACTTCCTCTGCGCATCCATACCAGTTTTTTCACACTTTTTTCAAAAAGAGCTGAACATTTTCGATAATACCGAGATTATGGTGCTGTCAAACAGTTTTGAAAATAATTAACCCATTTGTATAGTCGCTTAACCGCAAAACCTCTTATCACAAAAAAAAATGACTTGTTTTGTGAAAGTTTTGAATTTGAAATATTTTTGCTTGTCATTGCCAGCTTCAAATGGCGCTGGACCAACACTACAAAACCGGCGCTTTCTAACTGAAAACAAATTTCCTAATTTTATACAAACATTTCACAGAGCAAGTCAACAAAAAGGTGCATATATATTTTATAATGCTGCTAACTGTTAAATTCGCTTCTAGAAAATGGGTTTTTGTTATTTTTTAATACAAATCAGAAACGAATTTAGCTAATTTATAGCAAAACATAAAATAAATTGCTGGTGTCACGCTGTGTTTCACTTGTCCATTTAACTGTTAAGCTATTAACAGTGCAAACGTTATTACTATGCTACGAAAATCATTATTACTCATTTTAAGCCAGTTTAATTTGTGTAACTGCTGCTATCTTCCTACTATACTTACAGATATCGGCTAACAATATTTTTCTGTTAGTTTTCAAACTTTTTTTCAATCTAAAAGCTGCTTTTAAGCTTACTTATGATTTTATACCGTTTTGCTGTATCTTTCTAAGTTTACTTATATTTTTAATACATTTTCATTGCTAGAATCTGCCATTTTGTATTTTATGTTTATATATGTATAATTGTTTTTCGTTTTTTTTTCTCTTTTGTTTTTTCTTAATTCCTGTTTTCCTTTAACTTTTACGTTACGTTAACTTTCGTTTACAGACATCTAACTTAATTGATACGCTAACTTATGTACGTTATTTGACTTTTTTGTAGCCAACGTTATCCCTCCTCACTTACTTTTTATGACCAAAGCGTGACCTTGCGACTACCAACGTTGCTCTCGTACGCTCACAAAGAAACAGCGTGTCGCTTAAAGTCATTACGTTCACATTACCGACATAAAACGCTTGTTGTGTCTACTTTTCTTTGGAAAATTCCTTAGTATAGTTTGAGTATGTTTGAGAGTGTTTATTAAGTTTTGAATTCGGTTTGAATATATTGGTTAATTATTGCCGTCTCTTTTCATATAACTTTTTGTATATTTTGCTGCTTTTCATGATCATCATTTCATCATTTTTGTTTCATGTAAGTATTATCTAATTTGTAAAGAGTCGTAATCTAATTGCCACAGGGTTGCATGAATTTGGAGTTGCATACTTGTAACTATGCACTAATATATATCTAAATGTTAGTCATCAATAGCTGCGGGTTAGTTGTAAGTACATTTATTTGTAAAATTGTAAAATCTATGGCATAAAGTTACATTTTACTATTTTGAATAAGTTTGTATGTTACGCTCATTGTTAACATTGTGATGCTATTTTCTCTTTGGTTTTATTTGCTTTCAGTTTGCTTTACGGTATTTTACGTTACTTACCCCTTACGTAAACAATTAACATTAAAATGTTTGCATACGATCATTCACAACGATCAATACTGAGTATTATGTTTGAGTGACATCAATGATAAGTAAAGATAATTGAGTGAGACATGTTTTTTTTTTTCATGTACCATAAGTGTGTGCCTACTATAAAATATATTAAAAATATGGACTTTAAAAATTCATAACTCAATATGAATAATGGCTTACTTCGAATTAAGTGAGTTTATAAATTAGAAATAAATAAAAAAATTATGTCGTGTGAAATCAATGATAAGTAGAGATAATTAAATGAGAAATGTTTATTTAAATTTGACAAATATTAAGAATATTCATTTAAAAATTGATATTATAATGTATATGATCGCTTAACTCAAATTGAGTGAGTTTTGTTAATTAGAAACAAATAAAATTTGATTTTAAATTTTTAATTATGAGAAATTATTTTAAAAATTCATATATATTATATCCACCATAAATCGTTGATCAAAGTATGTAAAGACTGCTAAATGAGTGTGAACGACAAATTAAATAATTTTTGTCCAATAAAGAACCATTTTCTCATAAGTCACTCAACAAATTGTATGAATTGAGTGATAACAGAAATGCTGTATACCTGGAAAAGAAATACTGATATCTAAGCAGTATCAGATCAACGCAATATCTTAAATTTACAAATAAAATAGTTGAGTGATATTTTGAGTGAGTAATCTAAACTTATAATTAAATAGGATAAATGTAGTGAATAATGTATTAATGAAGTAAGTTATCAATAGAAAACAACCTATTGCAATATCTTTAATTATTAAATAAAATACTTGAGTGATTTTTGAGTGAGAAAGCCATATTTGTGATTACCGATGATAATGAATGTATGATAGAAATACATCTTAAAAATGTGTTTAGTTGTAATTACAAAATACTTAAGTGAAATGAGATTTTTGAGTGATTTTATAGTTATAAAAAAGGCAATGACACTATGCAGTCAATAATTTAAAATAAATATTTTTAAATTGTTCAAAGTTAGTATAAAATAGCAACACCTTTAATATAAAAAATATAATTGAACAATTTTATATGTAGTGAGAAATCTATATTTTTAATTAAGTGTGATAAATGAGGTGTATAATGTATTGATGCAGCGAATCTACTAGAAACTTATTATTTTACTAACAAATAATAAAAAATAAGTTATACAAGTGTATTTTGCAAAATTATAAATCACTTAAGTGAAATGAAATTTTTGAGTGCTTTCATAGTGATAAAAAATCCAATGATACCACGAAGTTGTGTAAATAAGTACGTTGAGTAAAACGTGCACATGTATGAATAGACTTCAAACTCAATAAGTCACTTTTAGAAAAAATATTTTTTAACTAGTTACTTAAACTGAGTAGCTTAGTAAAAATTATTTTTCTAAAAGTGACTCAATGAATTTGTTGTAGAATTGTAAAAGAAAATGTTTTCATAATTAATGCATTTAAATAAGTGTTATTATATCAGCTATTGATTTAAAATAATTTCAACTCATAATTGAAGAGAAAATTGAGTGATTCAATGAGTAAGTGCGCCAGGCTGAGTGACATCTGTGCATAACGGTGCGCATTACTAATAGTCTACACTGTAATGGGTGAGTGTGAGATTCAATTATATTGCGTAAGTGTGTGTTGTTTTATTATTTTTTTTTTTTTGATATGAGTGAGTTTATTTTGTGAAAAAGCTAACAAAAATAAGTGCTGCTTACAATATGAGCTACATACTAACTGATATACTAGCGCCGTAAATATAATTCGTTAATGAGCTTTTTCGTTATGTCTTTCATTTATATGCTCCACCCAGCTAACGGCTCATGATTTTTGAGTGTTACATATATTCTACGCACATAAGCACTTAACTCTAGCTAAACACTGTTCGTGACTGATCGCGTCGCGTTTCAAAGTGTTTGTTTAGTTTTATAATTTTTTTTTTTTAGTTATACAGTTATTCTTTACGCTTCCACCGCTTCCAGCAGTACGATGGCAACATTGCGAGCATCAAAAAATTATTTTAATTTGTTTTTGTTTTATTGTTTCAGCAGCATATAAATACATATAATTCGCACATTAACTGTAAATATTACATCCAATACAGCACTGTTTTGCCGCCATCAATTGCGCAACAACTGTTAGTAGCGCTGCGCTCCCCCATGCTGCTGCCGTGCTCTTAACCCTTCTCTTTATAAACGCTCTCTAAATTTCAAGTTATGCTACTAAAAATCGGTAGTCAAATATCGTTTGTCTTGTTATTGTTGTTGCTGCCGGCGGTTGTCATCTTCTGCTGATTATTATTATTTTGTGTGTTTGTTGTTGCTGCCGCATGCGTCTCCACAATGGTCACCACATCCACCGAGGTCATTTGCGCCTCCATTGCTGCTCGGCGCTGAGCTGCTGCCGCCGCCACTGCCGCCGCTGCCACACTTTGCACTTGTTCGATTGTCTTGTTTGTTGTAATAGTCTGTTGTAGTTGTTGGTGTTGTTGTTGCTGCTGCTGCTGTTGTTGTGCCGTTAATACGCCAATATTAACTGTGGTTGTATTCGCTGTAATTGTTGTTGTTGTGTTTGTATTAGTCGTCACCGTGGTTGTTGTTTGCGCCACATCCATATTCAACTGCCTACTAATCTCCATGTCAATGGCCTCCGCATCCTCCGGATAACGTTCGGAGCAAAAGATGGCGCCCTCACGCAGCAATTTTAACAGGTTAATTCGGTCCTCAGCGTTTCGCTTTGCACACAATGGTCTGCAGTTAAGAAAAAAAAGAACAGAAAAAATTACACGCACTATAAAAGATATTTCATACAAAAAAGGTTTTGTAAATGAGTGAAACTTTGAGTGAAACCATTGAGTAGATAAGTAAAGACGCACACATGATTAGATATGCGATATATATGAAACAATTTTAATGTTTTTGAAAAATCTGTAATATTTTATTTTTAATTCCAAAGGATTAAGAAAAGCTTAGAGGTTAGTAACTTCGGACCCATTTATTTTATGTACTCAATGAACGTGCATTTTAACTCAATAAATATCGAGTGTATGAGTGTAATGAGGAGGGTATATACTAACTAGTTTTCACATTACAACAACAAGGAAGTTAAGAAAATGCAAAAATAGAATGTATAGCTGTAAATTCATGATATTTAAAATGTCCTGCTATATGCTACAGTAGTCCGATCTTAACAAAATTGTTCGGGAATTGTAACTTTGTCTTGCACAATAATCTGTGCCAAATTTTTTGAAGATATCTTGTCAAATAAACAAATTTTCCACATAGCGACTTAATTTTGATCGATCAGTTTGCATGGCAGCTATATCCTACAGATTTCCGATGTGAATAATGTCTTCGTAATATTTAGCATTGCCTTGGAGAATGATCCGTGCCAAATTCCATGAAGATATATAGTTAAAAGAAAAGTGTTCCATACATGGACTGGATTTTGAACGATCATATTTATATGGTAGATTTATACTTTAGTGATCGGATATCAGCGGTTCCAACAAAAGAGCATCTTCTTAGGGAGAAAAAGACGTGAGCAAAGTTTCAGATAAATATCTCAAAAACGAAGGTACTATTTCGTGTATATACAGACATGACTAAATCTGCTCAGCTCGTCACACTGATAATTTATATCCAAGATCCTGATGTTTCTTACTAAACTGCGTTGCAAACTTGATATACCCAATTCAGTGTATAAAGATCACTACTAGATTTCTGAAAACAGATTCGGTTGAAACCATTTGGAATTATATAAGGCTTCTGTAGAACAGATCTAAGGTAGGCACGGAAGAATAGATACCAATATCTGGCGAAACTTATGGATCACACGTTTATAATTTCATCGAAATCAAAATCTATACAGGGTGTGCCGCTTTTAATGTTGATAAACGATCCAAAAAAGCCATTACATGACAGAAAGCTATTGTTTTGGTTGGCGTTTTTACCCAAACCCTGATGCAGCTATATTTGATCGAAAAAAAATAACAGTCGTTAGTAATCGAAGTCGATAAACGTTAGTTCATTGTATCCTCCAACAAAGGCATAAAAAGATCTCGACAATTACTGTTATAATACTTTTCGAACAGAAAAATTCCCAAGCAATCTGAACCCTTATATTTTAGGTATTACACTTGAAGCACAGGCTTTCTTCACTCGGCATACGACCGCGAGTATTGTCAAAGTGCATACCCACAAACAAATGCTCAAGTGGGTAGCCGGCACAATGCACTCCTCTCCAAACAGTTTCTACTAGAATGTTTTCGTCAAAATCATCCCAGCAGTCGTCTGCTTGAATCAGAGTCGCCTCCGAGGAGCCTTAAGAGGTCATTTTTTAATTATGTAGACGACATTAAACAATACGTCGAGCAGTCTACGGACGCAACTACCTTCAGGCATGTACTGACCGCCATTCACCGACACCCTCCGAGTAAATTGCGTACTTTGAATTAAAACACCACCCATAGCAGACGAAGAACTCGAGTTGACCCTAACATGCCAAATATATGTGCTGCGTGCAATCAGTTCCCGCATTACTCTAACCACCTCTTTACATGCTCAATGAATCCCACTCATCTGACACCCTTCCCCCTATGGTCTAACCACGCAGAAACAGCACGTTTCTTGGGCCGGCCGTTAGATGATTTCGATAACAACCAAATGGAACCGGACCGCACATGCGGGGATTTGATAACCGCTACAACAACAACATGACGTGCACTGTCTTACAAAAATTTTCTGCAAATTGACTCCAGCGCCATCTAGCGAGATATATTTTGTGGATGAGTGCAGTAAATAATAATTTCTGAAGCTTACATTTAGTTGCTCTACGATTTTATATATATGATGTTTAGTTGCAGATATCTAACCCCTCTCCAAGTGCTACAACTCACACGTTAATAAAGTGCATTTTCATTTTCCAATACTAAATATAAATTTCTATTTCTACTTCGCAAAAAAAATTTGACATTAATGTATGTCTTTTCTGAAAACACTATAAACTTGCAGCTTTTAGTGCTGACGTCTTCCCATAAAAAGCTTTCACCATTTTCAATTTCAAATACCGTTACGCAGCACAAAAACTCATTAACGTCATTCAAAATGAACATTTCAGCGAAATATTCCCACCTTAACACACCGCCGATTTTCAGCCAACCGCAACAGCCAATCATGTACCAACGATTAACGGTCTTTTCTGGTGAAAATTTTTAAATTTTCAAACCACACATTATAATCAAAAAATAGCGAAGCGGCAAGCGAAGGAGAAACACGAAAGCGCATATTTAAAGATGATATTTTTATGTGTGCTCGTGTATTTTTTATATGAGCAATTTAAAAGCACGTGAACGCAACCACCGGAGAAAACCATTAATTTAACGGTATTTTTGCATTTAACAGCATAGGATAGCGACGCATTACGGTACTGCAGGTTATACGAAGGTAACCAAAAAGTATCGATGAGCGGTTGTTGGATGAAAATTTTCACTGACGATCAGATTGGCTTCTGATTGGAAATATGAGCTTATACAGAATTACCCTAATAAACATTTGACTGGGCATCGCTAAAAATTACTGCTCTATACTAATTATTTTCTTAGCTTTCACTTGATGTCTCTAAGTAAAAGATATGCTCAAGAATATCCCTTTTCGAGACTTTGAAACTAGGTGTGAGTTTGTCGCTAAGCTCTTCTAAAAGCATATTCTCAAGAAACCTTAAGAATAAACATAATTCCGTGTCTTCTCATTCTCCTAAAAGAAGGATATTCTCCACAATATCCCTACTGGAAACTTTAAGAATAAATCTAAGTTCATCCCTGAGATAAATTCATATAAACATAATATTCATACAAACTTTAAATATTGTACTTTGTCACGAATATAAAATATACTTCGAGAATTCAGCTCGAATTGTAGCTTTCAGGTCACTCGGGAGAATAATTATAGAATACAAGTTTTATGCGCTAGATGGCGCGGGTGGACTCAGCGATTAAACTAGAGGATATACGTTTGTATAGGAACCTCAATATTAAGAGTTTCAAGGCTATCGTATTTTTAAAGTTACCCAAAGTTATAGAACTAAATACATACTATGTGGTAATTCTCTTTTCAATTCAAAAAGCTATGTAATTTGCGATTTCCTCGATGTAATGGTCGGAGAATTTAAACACAAAAGAAAGGTTGCCACGTTTTTGAAAATGTTTTTTTAAACGAAACCAGTAAAAAGAAAAAAAAATACTACGAAGTTTTGATATTCCAAATTTAAAGATTAAGTTGAGAAAATATTTTGGCTATTGTTGCCGCCTATTTAAAATTGTACTTTATCTAAATCCATACAATTTAGGAAATAAATAAAATAAAATAGTTTTAAGAAGGACTTCAAACTTTTTTCTGATAAATTGTAAAACGAAAAGAAACTTTACAAAACAAATCGATATAAGAATGAATAGACAACCAACATTGCAAATAAAATATGGACCACGTGTACAACAAATAATTAAAACCATATAATTGATAATTTAATAATGACTCTAAAAAGCTTTTCTGCATGCTCACAGTTAAAAAATTTGTTGACAAGTGTTGCCACCAGTTTGCATTTTTCACAGAATTGATAAATATTGATGAACTTAATTAAATATTTTTATATCACAACAAAACAAAGATAATGCTGCTATCAGCGATACTTTCAAAAAGAGTTACTGTTTAAAAAAAAGATACCCATATCGTAACTATTGCTAACAACAATACTATAAATATTATATAATATTTAATGAACCTTATAAAATGTATAAGATACATAAAACTAAGCAGAAAACTTGCAGCTAAAAATATTTTTGAGCAGCGTTGCCAGTTTAAAATTTGTTTACAAATTTTAATTGGTAATATACGCTAAGTTATACAACAACGCATCTTTAAGAAAAATTTCCGGACAGATATTTTCGAAAAGAGTTACCATATATTTCAAACAAAAACTTGTCATATCCCAACTGTCGCTAGTGCTGCATGTCAACAACAGTTATTATATAACTTTTTTCAGTGAATGTAATTAGAGAGCTTGCAGTTAACAGTATTTCTCACAAAAGTTGCCACCAGTTTTAAAAACTTTTTAACAAAATTTACTTGATAATATCATTTAAATATTAGCTTTAATGTAAATTTATGTCTGAAAATTTTTTAAAAGTGTTGCCATCTGTTTCTAAAAAATTACAGCTTTTAACCAGTGCTAGTGCATACCAACAACAGCATTTAAATTTAAAAAAAATGTATAAATATAATATATATGTACATATAAAAAATAAATAAAATTAAACAAAAAACATATATTTAAAAATATTTCTGAAAATTGTTGCCAGCAGTTAAATGTTTTGCAAAATTTAAATAATACAATAATTAAACAGTAACAAAGCAAAATGTAAGTAAAAAATGTAAGTAAAAAGTTGCCATCTTTTTTTTAAATAATCTCCATATCTTAACTGTAGCTATATTATTTTTAATATAAAATATATTTAGTTACAATATTTTTCATAGCACCCACGTACGCGCACCCGTATATTCAGTCAAACAAAAAAAAAACCAATGGGCAACCAGCCAAACACGCTCCTGCTGTGTTATCCTTTGTGTGATAAAGTATAAATGTTTATCTGGTTTGTATGCAGATGACGTTTTCATTATTCAATGTGCACACACTGACGCGCAAATATACTTGTATGTTAACATGTACGCACACATTTTTTCACACATATATTTACACGGATAACGTGTACAGCAGACCCCAGGGATGCCAGCTCCTAGCAATGTAAGGTAAGTACCTTGAAAACGACAGCTGACCATCAGCACAGGCGCCACAAATGATTGACTGCGCGAAAGCATAACTGTGTCTGCGTGCGCCTTTGTGCTATGCGCTATTATGCGCAAGTAAAATCCATATCTATGTAGAGAACGCCATATATTTTTTTACGCTCAAAGGACGCCGACAAGGCTGCGCAAACCTTTGTTGGCATTGTAATGGATTTAATTGCATAACCGCACACACAAGCCCCTATGTATGTACTACTTGTATGTAGATATGCTTGTGCCTAAGTGAGTTATAGAAGCAGTCGGCATGCGACCTCTCTCCTGCTGCATTCTTCGGAGGCGTGTAAATCGCTGTGTGTGGAAAACGTTACCATTTATAACACTTTATTAAATCATTTGTAGCTGTTGGCTTTTGTAGCATGCAACACATGCTCACGTTTGTCTGCACATACATATACATACATTGGTATGTATTTTCATGCTGTCGGTCAAGCCGCCGTTTGTTGTTGCTATTCTGCTGTGACAGCAACAGCCGCGGCAACGTAATGCATTATTCATGCGCCTGTTACATGTCGCATATTTTTCCATTGCCACATCGCTCACCTCAACTCTCAGCGCAGTTGAGTACATGCAAGTCGGCAATTTTTTACAAGTCCCAGCGCGGTATTGGACCCAATAGGGTTATGCGCAGCCATCGGCCGTACCAAATTGCATTACACCTTACTTTTTCGGCGACAGCAAATTGCATCTGTTTTACTCCAGCTTGTTTCCAACATTTCCAACCAATTTACCCACTATCCTTTTTTCACAAAAAATCTCCGTCCATTTGCCGCTATGCATAAGGTATAATGCTTTATGACCGTCAAAGGCTGACTTTTCAAAGGAAATATCAAATTCCAGGCCGTAGCCTTCCGCCACATTTATCAAAAAATTGATAAATTGTCTTGCTGCGCAGAAAAAATGGTTGGCGTAAAATTGCTAATGGCAGCTGGCTTTGATGCCAAAAATGTAGCGAGAAAAAAATGTTTAAGCAAAAAAAATAAACACTAAATTATTGCTTTTGTGAATTTCAAATTTCTTCTCAACACTTTTATTATATAATACATTTAAAATTTCCTTTGATGCTGACTACATTTTCGCAATTATTCACTAATTAAAGTCAATGAAAATTTTAACCCAAACTAACCTCATTTTATAACACGCGCGCAATAGTTCAACCAACATATTATAGCACGTGATAATCATACCAGCGAGAGGGAAAATTGTTCAACTACTAACTATACTATCTCTATATTAGATACACCCACAAGAAAACGTCGGAGACCCTATCAAATATATATTTAAATGATGAATATGACGACCTAAGCCCATTTAGCCATGTCTGTCTGTCTGTTCGTTCGTCTGTCTGTACATGTATCCTCGAACTACTCTTTCAGTTTTTGAGATATCGATCTAAAATTTTGGGCACGTCTCTCCAAGTAGCTACTTATTTAACGGAACCGCCGATATTGGACCACTATAGCATATAGCTGCCATACAAACTGATCGACAAAAATTATGTCCTTGTATAGAAAACTTTTTTAGTTGACGAGATTTCTTTACGAAATTTGGCATGAATTATTGCCTTAGGTATTTATCCAGTCTGAAACTATACAATTTTCTTATCTTTCCGGTAATTTGTGGATTCCAAATTTTTGATACCCTGTTTTGATGAGAACTGCATTCCAATGAGAGCATTCTGCATCGTCCGCAACGAATGGTAGTCAGAAGGGACAAGGTGTGGACTATAAGGCGGGTGAGGTAAAATTTCAGAGCTGATGTTTCCCAAGTAGTTTTCAATCGGTCTTGCAACATGAGGCCGAGCTTTGTCGTGATGGACATTCACCGTCTCGTGTCTAATCGCAAAATCCGAATGGTTTTCAGTAAATTAAGGGTTTTCTCTATTAAGGGTTTCACCCAATTTTAGAAACTTCTGATCCCACCAAATGCAGAACATTACCTTGGCGACATGGATATTCGGCTTTGACGTTGATTTGACTGATTGTCTAAATGTCATATATACATGAATTTTACCGTTTAGGCTTGTCGACTGCTTTTTGTAGCGTTCAAGCAGCATTTCTGACATGCAAACCGTCTCTTGGCTTCAATTCATATTGCACCCCATTTCCTTGCTTTTAAACGTTTTCAGATGGCTGCTTGAGTGATTGTGAGAGCTCTTCATACATTTGGCAACAGTCTTCACCGAGTAATGCTTTCAATTTCTCATCCGCAAACTTTTTTGGCTGGGCCAGGAAGTTCTTCGTCTTCCAAGCCACAATCACCATTTTTAATTGGTGCAACCTATTTTTGGCACGTTCGCTCAGCTAGAGTATATACACCATGAACTACCATCAAGGTACGATGATGCTCGGCTGAGGTTTTCTTCATATTAATGTTATGAAGATAAATACTGAAAGAGGCGCACTAGGACAGCAGTTTTACAAAGCATGTTCGGAAGATTGAATAGAATGCTAATCAAGTTAAGCCATCTCTTGAAGGTCACCAAATTCAGTCTTGTCCCACAACTCAATAGATTTGTTAAAAAAAAACATATTTTTTTCCACCCCAGCGGCTCAATGTCACTTAAGTTCGAGCATAAGAGCCGTGGAATATGTTCTGTCTCATCCCACAATGTTACTAAGTTTCCTTTTGCTTAGAAGTGGGAGCGTTTTGGTCTGTCCACCATCAGCACTACACCCAAGTAATTTTGTGGTATACCCTATATTGCTTATGTTCCAGGACTTGAGGGATGGCGGTATGTTATCCTAATAATATAATAATCGGATTCTATAAATAGATTAGAAAGTTTCTCAGATTCGGAGTGCGAATATTTAAAAGACCCTATCTCTAACAAAAATATACTGATACTGATAGAAAAGTCCTGATTGCAGACTCTTTCTAAAAATCTGGCAGAAACTACTACATGAAAGGACGAAACCGGTTTTTTAAAATAAATATATAAATAATATACTACGTACGCTTATGTTGATATGGAAAATAGATAAACTTAGATGTATTGTGTAATACGAGGGTAATTGGATACATTTATAACTTTCGCATACAGAAAATATATTTTTTACGAAGATGAACTGCAATCATTGTTTTTGTTTACAAAACTTGCGTTGACTTCATTTGGGATCATACATCGTAAATCATTTATACAGTACTTTCATTAAAGGGAATCGAAACACAACCATATCAAACTACCCTCGTATTTAAGATTAATGCATAAAATTAAATGAAAGAAAAGCACATCGAGACAAAGATTGTGGGGGGGATAACCACCACATCTGGGCCTCTCCCCCTAACCTGCCTGAATCCTTCAACTGCTCCATAAAATCCTTGCCCGTTATGTCCACCAACGAATTGGGATCCATGTTCGACAAAGAATCCAAATCCGGATCGCTCAACACCGATACATTGCACAGATTGTTTTGCAGTTGTCCGACCAATTGTTTGATACGCGCCGTCTCGGCTACAGCATCGGTGGTATCACCAAGCTGCTCGCTGCCAACACCAACACCAACGCCGCCGCCAACAATACCGCTATTGCTGCCGCGATGATGACTGGTGATGGTGACATAGTTAGTAGGCTATAAAGAAAAAAAAAAGAGAAAGTTTAATTATTATTCATATATATTTTAATTGAATTTTCTATAATAATTGTAATAAATTCCAGGCTTTCCATTTCTAGAAAGTTATATTGCGAGTATTTCTACTAGTAAGCAATCTATAAAGTATCTTAACTGCAAAAAACTAAAGAAACCTACAAATTTCTTCACATAACCTCTTTGTTGTCGACTTTATCTGTCGTGCTTTAGATTTTTTTAAATTTATTATTTTGATTTTTTTGCTACGGCAGAACACAACAGTCCACAACAACGTGTTAATATCAACACCCCTCTCTCGCACATATCTGCTTCTGCGTTTTGCTCATGCGGTAATTTGTCATGGTTTGTCAACAATAATATTTATGAGCCTTTGAAGTTTGAATTATAGGGCACAGCGCACACAGTTCGGGAGCACTACAAACACAATAATTTTTGTAAGTGAGAGTAGGATGGCACATCATTTGCCTTGAATCGGATTGAAAGATATTTGTGCGTCATTGCATTGCTTCGGAAGCACAGCGTTGTGATGTGTATATCAATAGTGGAACTTGAATTTATATTTTTTTCTTCATTCAACTAAATAGTAATTAAATTTAGCACTCTTTTACTTGACGAAATATTTGCACGATATTTGGTATGAATTATTGTTCAAAGCAACGCTACAATGCCTGAGGAGATTTTCCAGAACGGTTTCCAAAATCATATAGCTGTTATACAAAGTAACCGATACAAAGTAACCGATCTTTCATTTTATGAAAGGTATTCTATGTCAGCTTCGTTGCAACCGAAGTTAACGTTTCTTCTTGTTTTCCATTAAAATATACAGTTTTACATACAGAATAATAAATTTCCAAATTTTTTTAAATTTAATAAAAATTATATGTTAATATAATATAAAAATATATTTATGAATTCAATAAATAAAAGTAAATAATATAGAAAACTTTTTTTTTTTTAATTGTTTCTTGTAATTTTTTTTAATTTTTTAGTGTATATTTTTCCCTTGAGTCCAAACTTAAATTTTCGTAGTTTTAACTAATTTTTCTTTTTAATTTTTTGTCGTAATATTAAAAATATCTTCAACAGCGCTTTAGTCTCAGTACCCACATTTTGCTTTGAACGTTAATGAACCCAACTTATGCATATCTACGGAACGGTACGTGTGCATCATGCTATCTCTGTCACTTTACACTTTTGTTTTCTGTTTTCGCGCGAACAAAGGCTTAAACCAAAGAAAATTATTTATGCTTAACTCATTTTACTAAATGTATTAAAAGACTAACCAAGCGTTAACCAGGGAAATGTGCTAGCCAGCGTGAAGCAGAGAAAGGAAGACAGAAACAGCAGAAGACGAAAAAATGCAACAAAGCGAAGAAATGGGCGAGAAATGTTTAACACCAACGCCGGGCAAGTGCAGTTCAACTCTCGGCATTGTCAAGCAAAATTAGCACACTCAAGACGCGCAAGTAAACTAATAGACGCATTCACGTCCCTTTAATGTGATCGGTATGTAAGTAAGCTGGTCGTACGTTTATATATGTTTTTATATGAGTAGATATCTCGGCTTTATTACATTTTTTTTTGTGCACTTGTGCGCGCCTTAAGTGGCTTTTGATCCTGAGTAGCAGCGCCTGCACTCGCATTGAGTATTTATCTTTCGGCAAAAATCGCACAAAAAAAATAACGCACGAAGAAGCGTCGCAAAGTACGCAAGTTAAAGGCACGCGATGAAAATATTTTAATTACTATAGGAAATTCACTTCTTTTGTCTGGTTTTGGGCAACGTTCGCTTTTCCTCTTTACTTTGTAATTCATTTTTTCTTCCTACTGAGCCGCTTTTAATTACACGAAAGTTCGTAAGACATAGTAAATCTACAAACGGGCAAAACTTCAAGCGAAATATGTACAGTTGGTGCTTTTTGGCTTATTAATTTTTTATTATTCAAAGTTGTACAACTTATTTTCACTTGCTATTTACTTGTTTTCGTTTACAAAGCGAAAGAAAGTGGTGAAGTTTCCAAGCAAATTTTTCGCTTTCAAAGAGAAATACCTAAAGCTTAAGACATTAAAAAAAAAATTGTGTGAATAACTTTTTTAATTATTAAACGCTAATTACATAGTTATGGTAACTCTTTTACTTAAGGTTGGCAATTCTTCAAAAACAGCTTGCAATATTGAATTTCTCTTAAAGGTGACAACGCTGCTCAAACATTTTTTATTGTTGAAAGTATAGTAAGAGTGGCAAATCTACTCACGGTGCCATGCAGCTGGCTAGCCCCCATCTACGCGAACATTACATTAGGCCATGTTCCGGAGGCTTGGAGATTGGTTAAGGTGGCGTTTATACCGAAAGCCAGAAATAGGCCCATTTCCTTATCCTCGTCTCCTGTTGAAAATTTTGGAGTGACTCATGAATCTGTATATTAGGAGCAGAATAATGAGGCGTAAACTGTTAAGGGCTCAGCATGCCTACAGAAAAGGCAGGTCAGTCTCTATCTTTTGCATGAAAGAATGTCATGACACTTAAGCACAGGGAATTTGGGATAGCCACAATTCTTTGACATCGAGGGGCCTTCAGCGATGTGACGGAGACGATGATTAAAGTCCTTGAAAATTTTGAGGTGGAATCAAGCACCTCATATATAGTCTACTTTGTGGCAAAAAGGACGTAGACATCCCGAAAAATTAACAGGATCACCCCGCAGGGTGGAGTACTTTGAATCTTGGTAGTTTACGACCTACTTAAAGAATTAGAAGAACGAGGCTATCGGGTGACAGCCTACGCTGTCGACGTTGGTCTTCTGACTAGATGACAATTTCTAACTACCATCAACGAGCAAATGCTAGGTACCCTTGACCTCAACGTAGTATCTAATTGTGCCAATAGAAGGAGCTTAGGGGCCGTCCATAAATTACGTCATCGATTTTTTCAGATTTTAGACCCCCCCTATAATCATCCTATCGTCATTTCTTAAAGACACCGTCTTTACCGACTTTGACTTTACCGTCATCCGCAGACCAACCCAATAATAGTCTGTGGGATATTCATCTGGTGGTGGGCGCTCGAAAAGGCTACACTCGCTGAGAAGCTTGAACGCCAACAATGGCACTTAATGCCATTACACATAGCAAACGTGGATATTGTCGTCATATGAAGGGGTCGAAACAGGATCACGTTGAAATTCTCTCCCCCCTCAATTCCATCCCTGAAAATTTGGACCACTGCGTCGCACAGACTATTCCTGGTAGCTGTTTCTCCACTTACATACCGGCGAAGGATATGTTTAGGAGAAGAAGTAGCGAAATCACTGGAAACTGTAAAGCCGCTTATCTAGAAAGGGGGGTACGCTTGTCCCGCTCACGTTGGAGTGGGAACGAGTTGGATCTTCGTTGTCATCTTGCGTTCTAGCGCTGCACCTATAGACCGTGTACTTAACAGTATACTACAAAATGCGCCAGGGAATTTTGTAGCAAATTTTTCAGCTTATGTATTGAAAAACCTCCTGATGGTAGTGAGTACTGAGGTCAAAAATCTGCTAATCGAGTGGACTTAATATGAAAAATACTTTCTAAATATCTACTGAATGAAAGAAAATGTTCACATTGCCTATCAAATATTTAAAGATTCAGCTATTTATAGCAAATGTCAGTTTTCACTTGAAATCTAACTAATTTTGACACTTGGCACTCACAACTGTCAAAATATATCAACGAAAAAAGAAAGAGAAGGCGGAAGGCAAAGTGACAAATTTTATAGAATAAATATGTAAGTGAGGAGAAGTCTAAACCAAGGAAAGAAACGAAAAAAGGGTGAAGTAAGCAAAGAATTTTCTCGAAACTTGCTTTAAACCGCAAATTGTTGCACAAAATGCTTAAGAATGCCTTGTAGAAAAAAAACCCTGTTAGAGAATGCGTCAAAGTTGAGAAGCTGATGAGTATAATAACCTAAACAACTCAGCATGAGAAAACTTGGAGTAAGAGGCAACTACTAACACAAAAGAGAAGAGTTGGTGGTATATTCGAAATAAATAAGAACTGACATAACTGTTCATAAGCTTACTAAAATGTAGTGGCGCAGAAAAAAATTCAAGCAGAAACCTCCAAAACGTTTAAATGCCATTTTAGGTATAGGTATGTAATTCAGCTCTATAGGTATTTTTACGAGTACATAGTGATGCTGCTATGCTCTTGACGAAGGAATTGTCGACAACAAACTAAGCTGAAGAAAGTCACTTACTCACTTACAATTCAACAGCAAAGTATTAAATACGCTGAAGTAGACAACCAACAACGAAATGAAAGGAAACCGAAAAAAATGAAAGTCAAAAAAAGACTTGAAGACTACTTAAAAGGTAGTTGAGAGAGAACGCGAAAAGAATTTGAACTTAAATCATAGTACCTAATGTACTGCTTTTATAACTAAAAAAGATTGAGTGAGTAAGAATAAGAGAGATTTTGAGAAGCAGACAATGCAATCATCCGACAAGAACTCTCCAAAATAATAACAATAAAATACGTGACGGCTAAGATCAATCTAGTAAGACGTGAGTTTAAAACCACACCGAAGCCAATGCTATTATTGTAGGCAGTAATGTTCAAGCTTACTCCTGTAAGTTAAATTTTAAATATTTATATCCTCTTTTGTAATAAAAACGTGTCTCGTTTGAGATTTTTTTTTTTTTTTTGAAAAACTTATGGATATCACATTTCATTTTGTTACTCAATTGGAGCTACCGAACATGCTCTGGATATTAACCACTATACCTTTTCAATTTTGTGAATATAAAGCTCTTCGAAGAATTCTGTTGAAGGACTATCCAAAAGAGATTGTTCGCGAACATCAACTACGTATTAAATCCGCGTCCATTCTGATTTAGTTAGACCCGACTGTCGTGGGCCTGGAGAGGCCGTAGTTCGAGGTTGATTTATTGTTACCTGTCCTCTCGAAATTTTATATATTTCTCTCGATGGCACTGTAAGTA